GGGGGGTGAAGGAAGCTAGAAACGTGAATGACATTATTGTCTTTAAGAAGGAATATTGTTTTCCCTATGGTGAGGTACAGTTGGTATGCAGCCAATTATCACATGCAATGTACTAATCTTTTATAATGATTTGAATTTCAGGAAACCCTCTTTCTACTTGAGTTCCCAATGGAGTTTTAAAATGGTCGCCGGGACAGCAGCTATATGTTCCAACATCATTTTAAAACTCCTGGGCTTCAGATCATGCTACAGACCACCTTAAAGGAGCACTCTGAATATATGGATGTAAACAATACTTCCACACCGTGTTTACATAGGAAATGATGTGACATCATAGCACTTCCTGTCCATATGGAGGCTCGGGCAGAGCTAAAGCAGTTATTCCCAGCATCTCCCTGCAGCATTAGATAAATTATAGTGATCTATTGCTCGCCAGCTATATATTTTGAGACAGATAAATATATTGGGGGTTTCTAAGATGGAAATTAAACATAGGAAAAAACAATACCTACACGCCTCACTTACAGTTTAGTTACATCTGCCATTTACTGTCACTTTTTTTTTTTTTACATCTAATCCTTACATACAATAGAGGGAATGATAAATATAAGTTGTAATGAGCGTACTGCCATGCAAAACCTTTTTTTTTACCCGATTTCTGATCAGTTAAAAACTTTAATATTGCAGAGCACAATAACAGCATCACCCTAAATCAAAACTTCTAATTCAGACAAGAAATTGACCATAGTGCTCATTTACTTACTTTCCACCAAGGACAGCTACACCAACTGTGCTTCTTGGCGTTGACATGCTAGCTACAAAGTTCCACTGTCTGGCTTGAGGGTCCCACCTCTCCACGGTGTTCAAGTAACTCCAACCATCGTGACCACCAACAGCATACATGGGACCTTCTAAAACCGCCACACCTATTAATACAGACTCAGATTATGCATCTCATGGCCATTACTGATGAAAGTTGTATATTGGCTTTTTATATCAGGAGCTATGGTATGAGTGATACAAACTTTTATTAAAATTAGCAGAAACTGTAGACTAACACTGTATCACTAAAGAGATTCTATCTGCCAACAAGCAGATGATGCAATATAAAGTGTATTGCCACTTTTGCCGTCAAATTTGAGAAAACTCCTCTATATGTTTAAGTGTTCGCATTCACACAGCATACCATTTTTTATTTTATATTTCTTACCTTTTAGATGCTTTGTTGCAGCAGGCAAAATGGCTAAATCCAAGGTCCTCTCACAACCTCTCCTAACATTAATAAGAAGTACCTTAACCCGTAATAAGCCTTAAGAAGCCAAGTAGAAACTCTAACCCAAATACAAGCAATTTAAACTGCATTTTTTAGCTTATGCCATGTGAATGCGAACATGTAACAAATATAAAAATAGGTGTTATTCCAATTTGGCTCCAAAAGTGGAAATATACTTTAAGCTGTCCATTGGGAGGTAAAACATTTGCAAGTATGCACAAACTAAAAACAAAATAAAACACAAACCAATTTTGGTTTTGCATCTACTTTAAGTAGATTTTATTGCAAATGTTAATTTTTGAAAAATTGCAATCGATACATCTTATATTATATAATTTCCAAGTTCTACAGTATTTTCACTTTTAAAATCAACCTCATCCTGATCCCTCCTCAGTAACAATCCATCTTCAGCACACAGAATGGTCTTTTCGTAGTGAGATACTACCTCCAGCATACAGACTGGTCTTTCTCCAGTGAGATCCACCTCCAGAATACAGACTGGCCTTTATCTAATGAGATCCCACCTTCAGCACACATCTGTCTTTCCCCTGTATCCCTCCTCCAGCACACACTCTCCAGCTTCTCTCCCAGAGATTTAGCAGTCTGCAGTCTCACAATCCCACCATATAAATTGTGTTCTAAATTCTGTTTATGTCCGCCCCATAGATATTGCACAGATACACAGCCTGGAGGTTTAGCACTCTTCTCCACTTCTGCAGAAGTAAAGTTTCTTCTGTGTAGCCGAGGGTTGTGTTTGTGTCAGGACACACACTGATCTTTCCCCTGCATCTGTCCCACTAGCAATCACACCTATCTATACTCAAAATTGCCCCTCTATTACACAGAGCTCACAAGACAGTTTCACATGATCACAGTTTGACCAATAACTCATTAGTGACCATTTTGCATTGAATGTGATCAGCCAGCAAAGAAGTGGTCACCCCCCCC